ATGGATGTTACCAAGAAACATGCTGATAAGATTTGGGTTGGTTCTATGAAATCAGGCTATGTTCAGACTGTAAATTTCGATGATATTCCTCATTTTTGCATGCACTGTAATTCCATAGGTCATTCTAAGGATTTATTCCCTATTTTACATCCTTCTCTAAACATTTCTAAACCTGTGGATGTCCCGTTCGGGAAGCCGGAGTTGATTGAGCCTGTTGATGTGAACTTTAATCTCTCTAGGGAAGATATTGTAGTGCAAGAAGTTGTAGCTAATAATTCGGAGGATGCTGTTACTGTTTTGTCTCCTAATGATATACCTTTTATTCCCTCGTTGGATGGTATTGGTCTTGTGGACGGTGCTGTTGATTTGGTTCCCTCTGTGAATCCTTGTGAGAATTCTATGTGTGTGGTGGCTCCTCTGGTTTCGAATTCTATGCAGATTAATGAGGCTTTGCTGTCTGTGGAGTTGGTTGCTCCGGTTCATGGTGTGGTGGTCCCTGGTGTTCATAATGTATCGAAAAATCCTTCGCCAGGTGTTGAGGCGGCATGCAATCCGGATGTTAATGTGGATAATATTGCTGATAGTGTGCGAGTGGATAACTTGAAAGAAAATTCGGTGTGCTCTAACACTTTAGTGGATGTTCCAGTTAATTTGGTCGATACGCATATTTTGGTCAATCGTTTGGGGGAAAATTCTGGATTTGACATGCGAAACCATATGGATTGGTTGAATGGATTGTCTGAATTTGAATCGGAATCCGAGTTTTCGGATTGTGGTTTGGCTTCTCCGGATATTTGTGGAGGATCCGACCCTGAAAATGATTTTACTTTGGTTCGTGATAGGCATGTTATCTCAGTTTCTTCTCGCGGGAGATTCTGTGGGAGGGGACGAAGGAGAAGATAACCTTTCTGTATAATGTATTTTCCCCTGTTTCTACGGGTTGGTTTTTGTGATTTGGTGGTGAGCTGGTTGATAGGGCAATGATGTGGCTTGGGCTCGTATCCCTTTATCCTTGCTGGTGGCAACCATTGGTACAGTTCTTTGGGCGATGCTGACTCCTTTTGGATGGTCCGTGCGGGGCTTCTAGGATGCTGGGAGCATCGGCCTTTTTACTGAGTCCTTTTTTGGTAGTTTTTTATCTTCTCTTTTTTTTTTCTTCATTTGTTGTTGTAACCGCCTTGAATTTTGCTTAATATATTTGCTTTGTTTTTTTTTTTTATTTTTTTAAACATGAAAAAAATGCGGGCAAAAAACTATTGCATGTTCAACTAATTAGTACTATTAACAGGAAAGAAGTTTGAGTATTGCTCTATTTGTCTCCCTCCATTAATTAATAAACCTTTATATAGTTTGATATAGTTTGCTAAAAAAAATATCCATGCTGTCCCAATTGCACTGATTACACATACTCGTAGGTTGAGAAGGTTATAGAGCATTTGAAGGAATTTTAACATTGCTACTACTTTAACTATGGATAACACATTCTAACCCTAATAATTTGATCATAATGTTTTGCAGATCGGTAGTATTTGAAATAGGATATAAGAAGATGTGTTGGAGCTCATAAAGTCTTGCCGCCCTTCCTATAATAAGCCTTTCCAAAATATATGATTATAAAATATTTATTTTTGTTATTGTGGAAGGTGTTATTTTTTTTATGTCGGACTATAATTCCTCTTTATAAAGAGGTTTAAGGACATATTATTTAGCTATAGTAGCAGTTACAACAACTTAATTAGAACATTAAATGGTGTTGTGGAAGGTGTTTTTTTTCTTATGTCTAACTATTATTTCTCTTTTTCAAGTTGGATTTGGTTGGACTTGTTATAATATTGAATGGACACTTGTGAGTTATCACATAGTTTCTTATAAGAATATTAATTTATTGATCATGCTATTATTCCATTATTCTCTAACCATAAGAAAGAAATATGAACTTTGCTTGTCTTCATGACTGGGCATAAATATTTTGTAGCCATCATGGTGATTTTGGCGAGGATTTGTTCAATCGACAACAATTATCATTAAAAAAAAAAACAGATCTATTAAAAATAAAAAGCCACGGTTACAACAGGAGACAAAGAGAATAAAAATAAGCAAAAGAAAATACATCAAAAGAAAAAGGCGGGCTCAGTAGACGGCCAAGACTACCAGCGTCCATGATGCCTCGCACGGACCATCCAATCAAAGGTTGCCACCAGCTAAACGACAGGGACACGAGCCCCGACCACATCATAGCCCAAAGCCCCACGAGTGCCAAAACATTAACGTCTACGCCGACCTCTACCATGGGAAATCCCACGAGAAGCAACAGTTAAAGCAAGTCTAGCCCTAACCAGATTGAAATCATTACCAGGGTCAGAACCCCCACAAATATCTGGAGAATCCCAGCCACATTCAGCAAAATCGGATTCAGAATCACCATCCGACGAATCATTCAACCAATTTAGATGGTTCCTAATATCCAATCTAGAACTATCACCTAAACAATTAGCCATAATACGGGTATCGACCAAATTAATAGGGACATCAATAAAACTATTGACAACCGGATTGCACGCAACTTCAACACCGGACGAAGGAATCACAACCTCAGCAACAACAGGAATCAAATTCTCCACAGTATTAGCCGATACCAAAATATGAGGAAAAAAGGGTAAAGCATTTGGAGATAAAACATTCGTAACAACAATAGAATTAACTCCACCCACATCCAATTCCTCCCTAGCTAAACCTGGGACAACCAGATCCCGATCAATCACATTTAACGCACCTTGTTCAATAGAGACCAAAACAGGCTCATCATTTTTAGGAGCAGATTCCACAGCAACAGTAATAGGTCGGCATTCACTAACAGGTGGAGTAACCTCACAATTAACTTCCGTTAAAGAAACAGAAACCCCACCAACAACAGGGGTATCAGACGGAGATTCAACAACAGGGAAAACTTTGGGAGCAAATACAGCAATAGCATTTTCAGACTCCACAACCGTATGAGAAATAACATTTTCAACATTTCCAACATCTAAATTAGCGTTAGGAGGAGAAGAAGACGTTGGAACCACAAGTGCAGTAGGTCGACAATTGCCTTGAGAGTGACCAATACATTTACAGACGGCACAGAATTGAGGAAACTCATCAAAAACCACCTCTTGAGTATAACCTAAAGATTCTGAACCTAACCAAACTTGCTTAGGAAAAGATTTAGTTATATCAAGCTCAAATAAAACATGAGCAATTGAAGGACGTGAACCAACAGCAGTCGTCTATTTTCAGGGGCTTCCCAAATAACCAGCCCAACCAAAGAGAATGCGAGGAGAGAAGAAGTGAAGAAGAAGATGAGGAAAAGAAATCCATATAGGTATCACCGGCGACTCAACACCAACATCCAAAGTAGGTGACCACTTGGTTAATTTCATAAAGCAATTGAAAACTAGGTAAGAACGGTGACAGAAAACCCTACAGTAATCGAAATCATTAGATAGCTTGATCAAAATGTGAGAAGGATCCAAAACAGTAACAGAAACCTCATTTTTCAACTTCAATTTGAAAAAAAATTTACGAATAGCATCTAAAGGAGGTCTTTTAGAGGGAAAAAAACCATCTAAAGAGAACTGAAAAGGGGCAGCAAGCTCGTTGATTTCCTGATCGGAAATCCATGGAGACGGTAGGCCACGAAAAGTAGAAACAAATCTAGAAAAGGAGTTTTAGAACCAGCAAGAGCTTCCAAAAATGAACGCGAATGAGCAACCCCCCAAAAAAACCAGGGTCTTTAAGCTTAGAAGTCTCCATGCCAGCACAATCGGCGAAAAAAGGAATATACTGAAAAATAAAGTTACCAAACGAACATGAGGAAGCAGCGAAGAAGAAAACTTCCGTGAAATCGACAACAATTATCATGTTCTGTGATTCCGTAACAAATGCATCCAGCTTCTTTTGCACCCATTCATTTCCCTTCCACCCTTATATCATGACATAGTTTTGACTAAAAAATTTAGTTTTATTAAATTTCCATAATTTGATTCTCAAATTCATTAGTTCAATGGAAATTTAAAATTTAAGCCATTACATTTACAAATAAAAAAAAACTGAAGTTAACATTATCGTTTGGTTAAATTCATGAGTCTGATTGTTAATAAGCCAAAAAATACCATTAGAGCTTACTTTGTACATATTTTATTAACATAAAGATTGGATCAACCCTACAAATGTATTTTCTTAGGATATGGGAGTAAAATCATCCTTCACAAGATTGTCTTAAAAAATATTGAATAGCCAATATAAAATATTTATAGCCATAATCCAAGCAATTGTACTTTTTTTTTGGTAAAAGGAATACATTAAAAAAAAAAGACCCCACACAAGGCCACAGCATTAGATTACAAGTAGAACAGCAAAAGCATAAAAAAGGAACAGATGGATGGGAGTCAGTAGACGCGGACTCAAACCAGCAATGGGTTGCCAGGGAGAGGCCATCCATGGGAGAAAACAAAATCGATAGTGAGAAGCAGCCAACTCATAAAAATGAGCCACCCAAGTTGCCAACCA